GCGTCCCATATAAAGTAGAGGAACATGGGCACGGATGTTAGCTCAGGGCCAGTCTTCCTCAGCAAAAAAGAGGAGGATTGGCATTGGATGTTAGCTCAGGGTTGGTCTTCCTCACACACACACAAAAATAAATCATGTCGAAACCAGGTAATTTTTTGATGGCTTATTGAAATAAATAGTTATAGATGGCTCTATTGCATTTTATATTTAAGTGTATTTTTTCAGAGGTCCCATCTACCGTAAAAACTTAATAGAAATTCATTTTCAAACAAAAAGATAGTAGATAATATTATATACTAAAGTTTCAATGTGTTTCATAAACAGTGTAATATATAATGAAAGGAGGACTTTGTAGAAAATTTCATTTAATTTTAGTTACGTGGATTTCTCATGCTTTTGATAATACTGTAATAGTCTGTGGCGTAATGTCTTATGATTTTAACCTTACACAATTTCCAACTGATTCTGAACTTGATCCCCTTGCTTTTCTTGGAAGCTGGGAAGATATTTAAAAATTGTTTTTCCCCTGGGGGGAATTGATGTGTGCGTGTGTAAACATGGACCAGTCTGACTGAAATGAAAAACTCCGTAGGTCAGCTGGTAACAGCTTGTCTATAGCTGCCTACGAGGAAGTTGGAAACACTGATGCTACTATTCACATGACAAAAAGAGAGCCTGCAGTAAATGAGAGTGCTAATTGTGTGCTCCACACTTTTAACTTGCTTGTCCATTTTGGGGCCTTAACCTAATTCAGCCTGTTGATTTTTGGTGAACCAGTAGTATTTCATATGCTTCTTTCAGTAACAACAGGAAATTAATGGTGAAGATTATGCTGATTATCTCGATCACATCAACTTCACTGTATCAGTATTCCCCTACCAGCCACAGGCAGCAGAATAACCCATGGGAAATGTAAACAGTCCAATAGAAAGATGACTTTTTCTAACAGTCTTTAGAATCTATCAAGTGCAATATCTCAAATAGTACCAGCTGTACCAGCACAATTAATATTGCTCCTTAATTTGATATTTGACTAGTGAACAAGATTAGCAAGAAGGGAGAATAATCTTGTAGCTGGTGTCCTAGGTAAAATTTCTAGTCTAAAGGGTTTTCGGGCACATGAAATTTTGCTTGCTTGCTCTGATGTGCCATTTCTTGTGTTATTCTAAATTTCTCAATGGAAAAAAACCCTCCGATTTCCTTGTATTTTTATACTAGAAGGAATTATTATCTAACCTCACCTACCCCAACTGGCTTGGTCATGTCCACTACAATGATTGAATTTGGAAAGACAATGGGAATATTATACCATACTTAGAGAATGTCACTTATCTCTACCATTCATTTTTATTTTCTATTATAATCTGATTATGAAATATTTTAAAGCTATTTCAGAAAGTACAGAGAATGATATAAAGACCACTCATGTACCCACTCACAGTTTTGTCAGATCTTAACATTTTGCCATTTTTGCTCTCAGTATATTTTTTAAAGAAACTGAGCAATTGAAAGATTCAGTGTAACTTTCATCCCCTCCCTTCCCAGAGATAACTACTATCCTGAATTTGGTGTTTATAATTCTCTTAAATGTTTATGCACTTTTACTACATATATATGTATCCATAAATTATATACAGTATTATTTTACATAAGTTTTTATAAATGATATCACTCTGGACATATTCTTCCCCAACTTGCTCTTATCATTCAATTTTTATGTTTTTGTCACTTATCCATGTTGATGGATGGGGCTGTAGTTCATTCCTTTAAATTGCGTATAGTATTCTATTATACAAAGTGAGAGGTTAAGCAAACTATACAGTTAGAGACTGCAGTCCCCACAAGATCACCCCCACTTCTGACACCAACTGCAAGTTTGAGGAATTCCCAAAACCACCCTCAGGTTTGATAGTTCACTAGAAGGACTCCCAGGGCTCACTAAAAGCTGTTATACTCACGGTTGTGCTTTATTACAGGGAATGGGTATAGATTAAAATCAGTCAAGGGAAGAAGTGCATAGGATGGAGTACAAGGGTGTTCCAAATGTGGAGCTTCCAGTTGTCCTCTCCCCATGGAGTCAGGACAGTGTTAGTCTCCTGGCATTGATGTGTGACAATGTGCCAGAGGATGGCCAACCAGGGAAGCTCACATGAGCTTCAGTGTCCAGAGTTTTTATTGGAGTTCCATCACTCAGGCATGACTGATTGCCCACAGGGCTGATCTCAGTCTCCAGCCCCACTGGAGGTTGACTGATACCACATGACTCAAAGCCTCCACCCTAAATTACACTGTTGGTCTTTCTGGCATGGCTAGACCCCACCCTAAGACTATCTGGTGTGGCGAGCCCTGGCCCTAAATCTTATTGTTAGACTGTCTGGTGACCCAAGGCCCACAAGCAAACAGAGACTCCTTTTGGGCTTGGCATTCCAAGGGCTTAGAGATCATGTCCCAGAAGCCAAGGATAAAGGCCAGATCTCTTTATGGGCCAGGTTAAATTCTTTATTACACATATGAATATACCACATTTTCTTTTATCTGTTCTCCTCTTGATGGATGTTTGGATTGCATATGGTGTATACAAAATGGTACCTTTTTATTATCTAATTAAGGAATGCTTATGTAATAGTTACAGTGTGCCAGATACTGTGTAGCTTCTTTACAAATATTAATTCATTTAATCCCCATAAGAATCTTATATGAGATAAATGCTATTATTCTCATTCTATAGATGAAGAAAATAAGGTACAGAAAGGCTAAATACCTTGTTCAAAGTCACACAGCCAGTAGATGGAATAGCTGGGATATAAACTCAGGCAGTCAGAAACCTTCATAACCCCTATGCTATGCTGCCTAAAAAGAATGCAACAACAAATATTTTTATATACATCTTCTTGTATTCATGTATGAGAGCTTTTGTAAGATATATGCCAAACAGTAGAATTGCTGCACTGTAGGTGTATGCATCTTTAATTTTATTATATACTGCCAAATTCTTATCCAAACTGATATTTTTAAACAGATTGTAAGATACTTGCAGATATTTTTTCCTAATCTGTGGCTTGTCTTTTCACTTTCTTTTGTTGTCCAGATGTTTATAATTTTAAAGTAGTCCATTTTTTCAATATTTTTCATTATGATTTTGCTTTTTGCATCTTAAGAAATATTTCTTTCTCCTGAGCTCAAAAATGTATCCTCCTATGTTTTCTTCTAGAAGTTTGACCTTTTATATTTATGCCTTTCACCTACCTGGAATTGATTCTAAATATCACGTAAAGCAGAGATATAATTATTTTCCCCCTATTGTCTCAAAACTACTTTTTCAATGGCCCATTCTTTCCCCACTGGTCTATAATGCCACGTCTGTCATAATCATGTCCATATACATATGGGTTTTTGTGTTAGTTTGCTATTGCTGCCATAACGAATTACCACAAACTTAGCATCTTAAAACAACACAAATTTGTTATTTTACATTCCTGGAGGTCAAAAGTCTAAAATGGGTAGTAAGGCTGTGTTCCTTCTTGGGGCTCTGGGAAAGAATCTGTTTCTTGTCTTTTCCAGTTTATAAAGGCTCCCTGCATTCCTTGACTTGTGACCCCCTTCCAGCAATGGCATCGCTCCAACCTCTGCTTCCATCTTCACATCTTCTCTGACTTTGACCCTCCTGCTTCCTTTTTTTTAAAGTAGCTTTCTGATGACATTGCACCCACTGGGATAATCTAGGAAAATCTCCCCATCTCAAGATCCTTAATTTAATCACGTTTGCAAAATCCTTGATGTGTAAGGGAATATATCCACAGGTTCCAAGGATTAGGATGTGAACGTCTTTGGTGGGGGAATTATTCAGCCTACCACAGTCTTCTTTCTGGACTTTCCATTATTATTATGTTTTTAATTATTCCTTTTAAGCGTACTTATTTCATAATCTCTATCTGTTAGTTCTACCATCTGATTAAAGTTTTGGGGAGTCTAATCCTGCTGTTTGTTTTGTCTGTTGATTCTTACTCAGGATAAGATACGTTTCTTCATTTGTTGTATAATTTTAGATATAAACTCATCACAAGAGGACTCTATCTGTGACAATCTCCTGTGGCCTGTGTTGAGGTCGTATCACTCCAGAAAGCAATTGCTTTCCACCAAGTCTCCAGGGGTACTACTGAGCCAGAGCCACTTTTTATGATATTTTGTTGGTTAAGAGTTTTTTGAATCATATAGTAGTGTAGTTTCAAACCCCAACTTGTGTGAGGTTGTAAATACAGAGGTATAATTTTCCACCACCCAGGGCTTTAGGTGAAACTTTTGTTTTCTCCCTCTTTTAGTAAGTGGATTTTTTCCCTAGATCTCCCTTTCACTGAGGTGTGGTCATTTAAGGATCCAGATGATATGATAGAATATCTCATTTTCTACTCCTTGCCTTGTTTGGATCCTAAGGCTTCTCCTTTCCCTATGTGGGCATTAAAACCCAAGCCCTTAGATTCATGAGATAGACTAACTCCTTAGAGATTCTGCTCCATTAACTCATTTGCTTACTGCTCTAGTTTTTAGTTCCTAGCTTAGTTTTTGCTTACTTTTATGGTAAGCAAAATCTCTAGGGGTCTCCTAGAGTCTTCCCTGCTTGTTTTCTCCTTAACACTTCTGTGTGGTCACTTCTTTTGAGGGTCACATGTATCACCTCTTGAGGCTATTTGTAGCCTATGTGTCTGAGGTAATCACTAGCTGGTTTGGGGGGATAGCTGAGCTTTGCTTAGGGACATCTTTGGCTTGGTCACAATTCTAGGCTTCCACATTGTATTGTTAGCAGTAGTACCTCGCCTGCCTCAAAATATTACTAATCTTACCTCTGAGAGATTCTTAATACCATGATAGAGAAAATAATAAATTGTCAAAATCCTATTTCTGTAAGACTAATTATTAAATGTAAGATATTTAAAAGAAAATAATGTTAGACATTAATTTTCAACTCAAGAATCCTAATTCCCAGTTTCCTATTCTCTTCCTAGGATGTGTGCTGTGTTTGGTGGAATCTATTGTCTTCGCCATTCAGTACAGTGCCTTGTTGTGGACAAAGAATCCAGAAAGTAAGGATAATATAAGTTACCTTCCTATATTTACACCCCAAGCACAGGTGAAAAATGCTGAAGTCGATTATAAAAAAATAATTCTTCAAAGATCCTCCTTGGTATTAATAACATATCAACCTTGATTAAAAGTAATTTGTGTTTAGATCCTCCAGAACAAGGAAAGTGAGTTCAGAATATAGAAACTAAATTAATTTCCCTGCAATATGACTATAGCTCCTGATCACCCAAGCTTGGAAGACAAATCATTTCAGCTGCTGGGGGTGGGTGATGAGTGATGTTAGTTTTCCTTGTGGCCTTACCTCCTCTAATTGATTTTCATCAGATGACAACAAAGCCCTCTGTTATTGCATTTTTAAAAATGGAGCTCACCTAAAGACTCATCAGATTAATCTCTGCTGATAATGCATGTCACTCCAAGGGAAAAGACTTTAAGGACTTTTTAGGTAGATTGTTGTCATAAACTATGCTGCCCTGTTATCTGAGGATAAATTCTTTTACAACCATATCAGGCCTGCAGGCTGGTTTAGGATTGAAATAAGAATATACCTGTCTTTAAAAAAAGCTGAGCACCATCTATTTATCTGTATATTTTTATATTTCAATTATATTTTTATAGGATTTATTTTTTAGTTACTAAGATATGCTCTTGCCTGAATTACACTAAGAAGTATTCTTTGATTTCTAGGTTTTGCATTGAAACTTAACAGGGTCAACTGGATCCAGTTTTATGAGCTGTTTAAATTGCTATGTGTTTTTCTTTTTTGTTATATTTCTTAAGCATCTACTGACCGACATCTCTTGTATGACTGTTTTTAGGGGTATATAAAGAAATAGTATTATTCATGTCATAAAATACCTTAATATCTTGAAGTGGAATCTTAATATAAATTTTAAGCTGTTTCTTTCATTTTACAATAATTTTGTATAGTCTAAGTGGCATAAAATGTTAATTTCTTATAGACTAGTTATAGCACAATAACTAGTATTTAGAGATATGGTCGAGAAAAAATTCAACTCTAGAACATGTAATATTTAGACAGTGAATTCATTTTAGAATAGTAATTGTCAAGTATAAGATAAAATAGATGCGTTGTTTAAAAGCTTATAAAGTACCTTTAGCACTGTAACAGAAAGGTACTATGTAAATGAAACATGATAATCAGAGTGAAAAATCTGTCCCTAAAGGCCCAGAATATTCATGTATTGGCTCATGAAGAGCTCTGTGGAGGTTCATGAAGGAATAGTTGTCTTTATGACTCTTAGGGTCATTTTTCCTTGTGCATTCATTTTGAAGCATGAGTATGTACCCATGACGGAAAGCCAGATAATGAATTGCTTGTTTGGTGCTTATTTACTTAGATCCTTTTACCTTTTTTGGGCCCCATTCCAGTCCCACATATTACTCTTAGTGACATGCAGAATTTGCATGGCTCATATTTGTTTAAAAAAAAAAACATGGATACATTAGTACAGTAATAGCTTTTGTTGAACTAAAGGCTACATTTACCTTAACTTGGGCTTAGTTTTTATTACAAACTCTGAACAGAGGAACTCTTCTTTTATGATCTGCTGCAGATTTGAGTTGCAACAGATAGCTGAGGGCTAAGGGTCTAGAGGCCAAAGTTTGGTAGTTTTCAAATTTTAATGTCCTAAGAATCGCCAGGTAAACTTGTAAAACAAAGAAAAAAATTCAGAGTTCTGTGCCTCATGCTCTGAGAGTGAAATTGGATAATGTGCTTAGAGTGGAGCCAGGTAATTTGCAGTTTTAAGGAACACCCCGAGTGAATCTAATGTAGGTGCTTCTTAGATGACACTGAGAAACACTGATCTATAAGGTAAAGTTCAGGATTTAGCTGGTGGTACTGGGTTCTGTGATGGACTGGGGGCTCCAGGTCTTAATTCATTCTAACTCCTTATCAAGATGAACCTTCTAGATCTATTGGAATCAAATATGAATTTTAAATAGCAGACACTGCTACTGATTTAACATTTCTTTTATATCTTCATAGAAAGACCTCAAACATAGCAATTATTATCTAACAACTCCTAAGGCATGCATGGTCAGGTAGCCCTGGACTGAGAGAAGACCTGGAACTTCATCATTACCATGAATGACAGTGGGCAAGTCACTTTTCTTTGGGCCAGTTCCTTTATCTGTAGGATGAGTTAGATGGACTCTGCAGTAATCTCCAAATTTCCTCCCAGATATGATGTGCTTTGGTTGATTTATTGAAAGTACTTAGAAAGTACTTAGTTTTTCCTTAACATTTAGAAATAAATTATCTTAAATGTGTTTTATATGCCCCACTGTAGGCCATTTTCTCATATTGGGTAATCTTCAATCCCAGTGAGAAATTCAAAAAATTTTTGAACAACTTGTAATTGTCTACTTTTATGGACATAAATGAAATAGAAAAATGTCTACTTATGCTATTTATTATATTATTATTTTACTAGAACCACAGTTTTCCAATGAATATCTTTTTCCTATCCATCTTGGTTGTTTAAGATACAGCCATTTTGGATTCTGGGTATGAATCTCTTCCTGGAAAATTTATTCCAAGCCATAACTATATAATTCCTTAATGGTAGGATAGTTTTTAAAGTTTGACTTGCTTTTATAATATTCATGATACTACAATATTCTCACTGTACTGAATTGCTTAAGTGATCTTTAAAAGTTTTAAGAGACAGCCAGTATATGAAAATTGTAAATTCATACCTTTACTAATAATTACCAAATTTCTAATAATTTTTTTGCCTCTTTTTAAAAAACATCCATTTTATCAAGTCAAATAGTTTCTGTAAATATCTAACTAGCTTTGATTGGAGTTGACTCAGGCTAATGTATCTTTCCAAAATACTGCTTTGTTGTTCAAAATCAAATAATTGAGAGAGCTACAAGTAATAGAAGATATTTTGTCAGGACTTGAATATAAAGTGAGGATAATTTTTTGAGGGAAAAACCTTGAGCTTTTATTTGGGCATATCCAGCATACATTTCTTTTTAAGGAATCCAGGTTGACTCAAACAATTGTTTATTCTAAGTGTAATTAGAATATTAAGGAATTTGAGTTTGTCTCCTTATGGTCTTAGATTGCCTTTCTTTCCCTATTTTTCTGTGTGGAACACTTGACATCCCTTCTCCCCTTTGGTATAGTTAAGAGCTACACATGCTTCATGTCTAAGATTATTTCTTAATCCCACAGACTAGATCAGAACCCTCTGCCAGCGCCCCGAGTCACGTCCCCTTGTATGATTGTAAGTTCCCATAAGAAAAGGCAGGATCTCACTGCTATATCTCCAGAACCAACTATCCTGTCACCCACTATTCAATAGCTATGTGTTAAATGAATGAAGATTAAAAACTAATGATAGCTTTTTGTGCATTTCTTTTCACCTTCCATTGAGGAAAGCTGATAGAAGCATAAATGATCATAGCATTGAGTTTAACGTGGTGCTTATACATCAAAGTATTGTGCAGACTTTGAGAGAATATGAAATATGTAACCAAATGCATGCTTATTTTCAACTAGATCTTATTTTTCATTTTTGTTTAATTTGCTTTTTCTGAGATCCACATTGACTGTGCTCTCTTTGCTATATTATTCATTGGCTCTGCTTTCTTAATTTTCAGAGAACATAGGTATCAGTAGTTCTTTTCTGTGCCCTCTCACTAAATTCTAATACTGAACTGCTCTGTTGAATGTTTCTGGAAACACTGAATGCTCTTGTTGAACACCTTTCTTTTCCTTTGCAGCTGTGCTGACCATGTAAAACTCCTATAAATTAGATTTGGCTATTTAGTAATACAGTATTTGATATTAGGGTAGGGTATGAATGACCTTGGACCAGATATGTCTGTAACCAGTAGTCTCAATCCAGTTACTTCAGCTAGTGTTCCTTTTGTACTTCAGCTGTCTCACTTACTAGATTTCTTGCTATGACTATTTCTTTGAGATTTTTTTTTCTGATATCGTGAATAACTATACCTTTTCCAGATACTTGGACATTAGTAATGAATAGTATGTTAGACCAAGTGTGAGGTTACTGATTCTTAATACCATTTGTCATTGTAGGAAAATCACTGAATTTCTGATTTTGGCGTGTCCCATTGGCAAAATGGTAGTGATAATATTCTAGATATTTAACCTCCACCAACCCCCATGCTAGTTGCTATGGGGATAAAGAGATGAATAAAACATAGACCTTGCCCTTGTGTACAAAGAGACAGTAAAGAGTGCAGACTTTAAAGTCAGATAGACCTGGATGTGTATCCTGGCTTCCCCACTTACTAGCTGAGTGAACTTTAATGAGTTGTTTAACCCCTCAGTGCTCCAGTTTCTTTATCTATGAAGTGAGACATGACAGTACCTACCTTATTGGGTTATTATGAGTATTAAGTGAACAGATAAAGCACGTAGAACTGTTTGTTACATAAGCAAGAACTCAATACATGTTGGCTAGTAGTAATTATTAACGTAGTTGGATATTTCAGAATCCCATGGAGAAGATATATTGTGAAGATCCTTCTATGCTATGCTCAGGAGTTTAGACTATAATCAGTAGTTTTAAGTGGGTAAATAACAAAATTAGATTTGCTGCTTTTAACTTAGTAATTCTGGCAGTGAATTGGAAGAAGCGCTATGATGGAAAGAGATTCTTGACCCCCTAAATCACAGATTATGTCTTTGTTTCTGTCTCTATACTGTTCACATGCACAGAGTACTTCCATCATCCATCCATCCATTCAGCCCTCCATGCAACAAGTACTGGTTGTTTTCTGTGTGCTAGGCACCGGGGATACAGCAGAGAACAAGACGATCATGGTCTTTGTTCTCATGGAGTTTACAGTCTACTGGGGGACATTAAAGAACAAATAAATTAATGAGATAATTACACACTGAGATCTGTTCAGTATGTGGATCTGCCTCTGTCCCTCCCTGTGTAAAAAGCTTCACTGGCTTTATATCACTTCAGAATAAAGTCTAAGACCCTATTACGTGACACGTGTGACTCTGGGATCTAGCCTCTGCCTGCCGTTCTAAACTCATCTCTCTTCCCTCCCTGCTTCCATTTTATTGTCAGTTAACACTGAACTGCTTATGGTTCCCTGTACTTCTCTTACTTGCCTCTGTTCCCCTGCAAATGCTGCCCTTTTACCTGAAATTTTCTCCTTATTTGCTTGCTTCACTGGTTTTCAGCCTTTAAAAGCAGCTAATGTATCACTTCCTCCAAAGAACATTCTCTGATACTCCACTCCTTCCCCCTAAGCTGAGTTAGGTACCTCCCCTTAGGACTCTCATGATGCCCTGTCCTCATCTCTTTTCACTGGACTTGAGCATTGTCTTATAATTGCCTGTGTTTGAATCTTCATTATATTGGGAGCTCCTTAAGGACAAGATATTTTTATTCTCACCTCTTAAACAGTGCTTGACACGTGGTTGTTATGCCATACATTTATGTTGAACAAATGAGCTACCAACTTGCTAGTGGTCTGTTATCTTATTAGACTTAACAAGAGTCTAAGGCAGTGTCAGTGGAGAAGGAGAGAAGAGGTTAGTTGCAAGAAATCTTTATAAGGTAGAATCAAAACTGAGTAGCAAATTAGATGTGGGAAGAGAGATTCTGAGCTAGGGAAACTCTGTAACTGCTGATCATGTCATTACCTAAGACAGGGATTCCAAGGAGGGAAGCAGGTGAGGAGGCATGATGAAGTCAGTTTGGGGAATGCTAGGTTTAAAAAGGGTTTGGAGTCTATCCAGAAAGAAATAGATAATGGGCAGTTAAAAATACGGTTACAGACCTTGAGCTTGGTCAGAGCAGAGAACCGTAGATTTGGAGTTCATCTTTCTCTTAATGGTGTTTGAAACTATTGGAATGGATTTTTACCCAAGAAAAATGAGTGATAAGCGTTTTAGAATGGTTTTATCAAAGAGATGTCATTTGAATTATGTGTTCGAGAAAGCATGGAAGAACATAGTAAGGAGACTTATTTTGTTTCCTTCAATGATTGGGAATCTTATAATTTCCTTCACTATGATATTTTCCTTTTAATTTTTTCATATGTGATTTCTGCATTCCTTGTCATACAATTAATTGGGATATTAATTCTGAAGATCATAAAGATTGGATACCTGTTTTAAAGTTAATTTTCTCTTCTGGGCCAAATTCCAGATAAAGAGTTTTCATCTTGCTGAGTGTTTTCTTCCTTATCATCACTTAGCTATTTATGCCCTCATGTCATTGAACCAAGAACTGAATAACTTTTGTGATTTGTTGATTTAGAAAGCTTAGCTCTAGAAATGTTCTGTCTGGCTTCAGTGATTCTTATGATCAGCCTGGTCATTGTGTCCCTGTAACTAGGAACTCCTATCATGTTTCTCCTCAATTTACTATTTATGAGGCTCAGCAAGGCCCTCAACTAAATCCAAAATGCTGTTAATCTTTAATGGCTTCCTTAGGTTCATGTGGGAGGTGTGGCCAGGAGGGTATTTTAATGTCTCTGGCAGCATTGTTTCATTTTGCTGTTTTCCATTACTTGATTGTCATCTAATTTTTTATATTAATCTTTATAATACAAAGTTTAACTCTAGGTCCCAAATCAATATTCCTTTCTTCGTTGTTCTCCCAATTAGGCCTAATATATGACAGTAAGTCAAGTATCTGAGGGGAAAACAAATCTTATCACTCACTTAAACATGTCTTGGTTTGAACAGCTTTGCTCAGGCCTAGAGCCTTAGTACTTCAGAGTGAGACTATCAGGTGAGTTGTGTTATTATCCTCTACCAGACAGACTGGGCATATGTGACCATCACTTCAATTCCTGCAGAAATCAATTTTTTTTCCTGTGGCAGTAGCTCTTGACTTGTCTTCACCTAGCACTGCATAAAGATACATCAGTAGCAGTGGCATGCTCAACGGTGATTCTTCCCTGGGATTTGGGAGCTTATCAGAATCTCCAGGGGTACTTATAATTTTAAAAAGTCCCCCAGGTGTGATTCTGATTTGCTTCCTTCTCCTCCTCCTTCTCCTCTGAGAATTACTGTTTCATCCAGAAGCTTCAGCATAAATAGACACATTTATTGGTACGTTGTCCTTGAAGAGTTGAGCTCCCTAATCCTCATGCCCGCCTACTTCTCTTTTCAGTGGTCCCCAGTAGTTCTTTCTAATACTGTAATTTCTAAAACCAGTGTCTACCTGTCACCACAGGTGTAGCTGCCACCAAACCAGCCCTATTAGTGTTTGAAAGTCTACAAAGCAAGGAAGTCTCCACAAGCTTGAGGGCCAGGTTTAATTGTGTGGTTTATTTAAATAGGGGCCTTTGCAAAGACTTAGACTATAGTCCAGAATTTATACTAACACCACTACCCCGCCCAATTTTGTTCCAACATTTTATGAGGAAAATTTTCAAATCTACACCAAAGTTGAAAGAATTTCAGGGTAAACACCTGTATATCCACCACCTAGATTCTACAATTAACATTTTAATGTACTTGCTTAATCATATATCTACCCAAATATTCATCCCTCTATCCATCTATTTGCCTTTTTTAAGCATTTTACAGTAAATTGCAGATATCAGTACAATTCCCCCTAAACACCTCAGCAGGCATATTATTAACTAGAGTTAATATTTGTTCATAGCTTTTTTTAATGTTAAATTTACATACAGTAAAGTGCCCAAGTCTTAAGTGCTCATTAGCTGAGTTTTGACAGATGATAAATCTGTATAACCCAAATCTCTATCAAGATATAGAAGATTTTAACACCCTCTTTTTTTCTGCCCAGATTATTCCCTCTTGACTTTCTATAATATCTGAGTTAAAGGTAAGGAAAAGGCTTGTCAGTGTTTCCCGGAAAAGTAGGGATCAATGTTTCATGACAAATCAACAGATTTCTCTTCTCCATTGCCTAAAGTACCTTGTGTTTTGAATTGTATATGAATGTTTTAAAACAGGAGATTGACTGAGTAGGTTAGCTTTTCAGTTTTTAAATAATTTTTTTGGAAAATACTGTATCTAGGTATAAAGACCTTCTATCTGTTTAGTTAAGTATTTTATAAGGCAAGAGCTCTAGTTCAATGAAATGTGAGGAGATATGCAAAGAAACATAAGTGGGGAAAAGAAAAGAAGTGGAGATGAGATGGGAAAAAATAACAAATATTAATATAATATAATGTATTTCTTAATATGTGGTTAATTAAAATATATATTATGTATATCTAACATCACAAGAGATTATATTCTATCCTGACAACAGTGGCATGCCATTTATACAAGAATATCAGCATATCATAATCTTCCTTTAGGAAATACACATTAATTTCCTCTCACTATTGGACTTGGGTGTTCATCATTTTATTTTTAATGCTTTTATGCCTGGTAAATATCTCTTATTTGGTGTATTTTTAGAGTGATGTAGCATATTTTAATTTATACCAGTATATTTAAAATATGGTATAAGTTTGAAATTATACCAGTATATTTAAAATATGGTATAAGTTTGAAATTATTTGCTTGTATTTTGTGAGGAGCAACATATAAGTGTATTTCTATTAAAATAATTTTGGTCCCAAAAGAAGAAGCTGTGACAAAAGTAAATGGTGATTATTTCCATAATAAAAAGATAGAGCAAACATGCAGGCATTTGCATATAGTTCCTGAAATATTGCATCCTGGCTTTGTCAGTGCTGGTAAGTCCATTTCAAGGATGTTGCCCTTAGTCCATTAGTTTGGATAATGAGCCCTATAAAGTACATTTATAACTTGTGGCACTGCAAGGAGATGGATTCTAATTTTCATCCTTTTATCTAGACACATTGAAGGAAGGTCAATGGAGGGTTCTATATGATTCATTGTCCCAACACATATCAGATGACAGAGACCTGATAATGTCCATGCATAAGTGTTTTCCTTATTTGGAAACAGCACTTGAAAGAAATCTTTCTATGATCATCCTTTGAAGTAAAGTGGAAACAGATATTAAAAGAAGCTCTATCCTTTTTGTTGTTGTTGTTTAAAGCATTATCACACGTGTGACCAGATAGCAATTCTTGAACAAAAGAGAAAGCAACACTTAACAGAAAAATAAAAAACCTTTAGTGGCTTTTACAGGCTGTGAATGATATAACAAAATGTTTAATCAGCTTTTCTCTTCCCATTTTCTTAGATCTGTTAAGAAAAAGAAAGAGCCAGTTTTCTAAACAAAGGAAAAGCTTCTATATTCCTTAACATTATAGAAAAGCTTATACTTATGCTATAATACTTATCCTAACTTTACTCTTACTTATTAGTGGCATTCAAAATAAATATTTAAGTTCTATTCCAAGCTTATTTTATAGATTAAAAGACTTCAAAATAGCAAGAAGAATATATATTCTGTAATTTAGTGTCAGTTTTGTGTCAATTTTTTTAATCTTATCTTCCAAGAAATTGGTTTTAGGTTCAAAATTGGTAGCTGATTATGTTCATTTTCTCAATTATTTAATCATTAATGAGAACTTTTCTGCTTTGCTTATCTTTTTCATAGATGTAAAGCAATCATAGATCAGTTTGGTCAGAGAATAATCTCTAAGCATTTCCTTGTGGAGGACAGTTACTTTTCTGAGAACACATGCTCACATGTGCAATACAGGTAAGACACCCCTCTGCCCACTGTCTAAGGGAAGGTGAAACTTAGGAAAATTGATCTGTGATTACATTGACACTTCTCTAAGACTTTGTTCTTCAAGTAAGATGTAAATGTATACCAAGCCAAGGATACATTCAATATGTTACCACTGTTCTCTTATAGGGTCTGGTTTTGGGGCAGCCTAGCCTAATTTCGACTCCTTTGCATCAGCTGGGGTTTGTCTACAGGTCACACATCCTCCTTTCATGAGCCAAGAAAAGATTAAAGCAGAACTTGACTTGATTTGGGGAGGTGACACTTTTATCGTGACTTAAATCTTTGAAACATGCCTTCTGGTGGTTATATAACTATAAATGAAACTTGTTCATGGAATCTGAACCACTGATTAACTTTTTGTGCATTACAGGCAGATCTCCAGGGCAGTCCTGATTACAGATAGATCTGTACTAAAAACAGATTCAGATCAACAGGTAATTTTAGTCCTGTACTTTTTAATAACATGTTGCTAACTTAATCTACATGGTAATATGTATAAATTAATAACAATGAAATAAAATATATTAAGCCATATATGCTAATACATTTAGTGCATTTAAAAAAAAATACATAATAGAGGCCAGCCTGGTGGTATAGTGGTTGAGTTCAGCGTGCTCCGCTTTGGCAGCCTGGGTTCGTGAGTTCGGATCCCAGACGTGGACCTACACCACTCGTCAAGCCATGCTGTGGCATTGTCCCACATACAAAATAGAGGAAGATGGGCACAGATGTTAGCTCAGGGCCACTCTTCTTCAAGCAAAAAAGAGGAAAGGTTGGCCACAGGTGTTAGTTCAGGGCCTATCTTCCTCACCCAAAAACAAAAGAATACGTAATAGCGATTATGTAGTAATCTTGGTTTCTTTAAGGTTTCCTTCCAGCAGAACAAATAATTGTATCTTATGTAACAGATTTATTGTAGGAAAATTGGACTAAATCCTAGTTTTCAACAACTGTTTCTGTGAAGTTGAAAATGTATTGTTATGGGAGGAAGAAGAGAATCCCCAGAGAATACATTTAGAAATCTTGGAGGAAAAGGCTTTTTGCTAACCAACCCTACAGCAGTGGTGGTAAGCCCACCATTAGGCCCAGTGTGAATGAGTTATTAACACACATTTCCGGTTCTGATATTTGCTCGTCCCTATTGTTCATTTCAGTACTCTCTTCCTCCTCCTCACCTGCAATTCTATAGGAATGTCTTTATACTTGTGGTTTTTCCTCAGTCGTAACACTTAAATTCCAGAAGTATGCCCCCTTCTCCTTCTGACCATATTTTACAGTGACTGATAAAATCAGCTTACTCAGTAAGTGTGACTGTCAGACCTATTCTATATACTACTGCTAAAAATAGATTCCTAAAATTCCTTAAGTTGGAAGCTTTCTATTACATAAGACAAATATGTTTGTTATGCATGTGAGCATAAATACTTTCATTTATCATTCAGCAAACAGTGAGTGCCTTTTATATGCTGGGCAGTGTGGTAGGTCCTAAGGAGACAGTGCCTAGCCATGATAGCATCTCTGTCCTCATAGCTTACAGTCTGCAGGATACAGATACAGACAGATAAATAGCAACTATAGTTCAGTGTGACAAGTGTGAGCAAGAAATGGTACAGCAGCTATTGTAGCACTCATCATGCTGTCCTGTTATTGCCAGCCGACTTGTCTGTATCGCCTAGTAAATGATGAGCTTTGTGGTTGGGTCGAAGAGCGACAGGGAGGCAGAAAAGTGAAGAGAGCAAATAGAGACAATTCTGAAGAGGCTAAGCTGTGAAGACAGAGAGGAAGTGATTCTTGAAGAGGGATGTGGAACTGAAGAGGGCTTTTCTTTAAAAGATTAGTGTATACTTCAGCTCATGAGATGGAGCCAGTAGAGAGGGAGAAGTTGAAGATACCCAGGAGAAAAGAGGGTAATTGATGCAGCAAGGTCTAGGTAAAGGCCGGGGAGGATGGGATTCAGAGAACAGGTAAGAGCATTGCCCTTAGTTGGCATGTGAGACACCCTGAAATAAGATGGTGAATGCAGGACCATGTGTAGGTTTGGGAGTTCCCATCTGATGGGTTCCATTTACTCTTTAAATTACAAGGTGAGGTCATGCCTGAGAATGGGGGAGTGAGAGTGGAGAACGGGTCAAAGCTCAAGGAAAGGTGTAAACTAATCACTGTGGGGAGTTGGAGAGTGACCTGTCTCGTGGTCAGATGGCTGGGCAGTGTAATGGCCCAGTTGAGTCTGGAGGTCATGGGTTTACAGTGGCATTAATCTGCCCCTATCCTTCCAGCTCTTTCCTTCTCTTACCCCCACCCAGCCTGCTCATCGATCTGTTAAGAGACCTACAATTCCTTGTCCCCTCTGTTTCCTCCCAGATTACCAGCTCCCTTCAGCCCTCTTCCTTTTCCGTGTCCCCATAGTGGATCTTCTGAACTGCCCTCCACCAACACCTTCAATTCTCATGTAGCCCTGTTCTTCCACTGCACCCACAGAGGAAAATCCCATCCCTGAATGAGACTGTAATCTACACCTGGATCACTGAGGGCTGCTTGAGAAAACCACACAACCAGACAGACTGGGACTGCCACAAAGTCAAGAGTGTCAACCTCATTCAGCTGGATCCTCAGTACCCACCTCCAGTTAGCTCTTCCACTGGCCTCAGACAGCTCCCTCTCCTTTTTTCCCCAGTGTCTAGTCCAAGTCTTTACTATTTTACCCACCCTTCTCTTCCTTATTCCTCCTTTATCCCCCCGCTTCACTGAGAAAAGTGAGGCCACCTACTAAGCACGGTGGCCCTTGACCTCCTGCCCCACCACCCGCAACTTAGGTACACCAGCATAGAGACTAATGAAGGGGCTCCCCTTGTTGTACAAGGCAAACCCCTTTCACAAGTGCCCTTCACACACACACACACGCACACTACCCCGTATGCCTGCTCGCTCTCCTGCATCTTCAGCCTTTCCCCACTACTGACACCTTCCCCTCCACCTATATACATGTACTAGCATTTTCTGTTCCAAAAATAAAAATAAAAAACCCCACAAAAAATCCTCCCTTGACTCGGGCCCCATCTCTAGCTAGTATCCAATCTCTCCCCTGCTCTTATCAACATTTTCAAGACAGTGTCTATACTTATTGCCTCTAGCTCTTTACCTCTCATTCATTTCTAGACCAACCTGGCTTCCACCCTCACATTTCTACTACAGTTTCTCTTGCTAGGTTTGTTACTAACTTCATAATAGTCAGGGACACAGGACATTTTTTGATTTTTGTCTACTAGGTACATTTGGCAATGTTGATTATTCCTTTTCTCTTGAAACTCTATACTCCTTTGGCTTCCCTGACACTGTGCTCTCCTGGTTTTCCTCATAACTCTCTGGCTATTCCCTCTCTGGGCTCTAGCCTCCTATTAAATATAGGGGCTCCTCAGGGTTCTCACTTCAGCCCACAATACCTCTTGCTCTGTGCACACTTGCCACTTGACTCCATGTACTCTTATGGTTCCAACTCCGCATAAATGTTGGTGACAGCCACTTCTATATGTCCCAGGAGTGTTGGCCTACATGCCAAACTTCCTACTGGAAATCTATCCCAAGGGCCCTTCAAACTGAACATACTCAGAGCTGAACTCACCATCTTCCCTCTCAAAACTACTCATCCTGTGCTCCTTACCTCCCTGGATAGCACTGACATCCTTCCAAAAACAACAGCTTCTTCCTCCCATCTCTGACATCTCATGAGCCTTCAGGTCCTGTCAATGTACTTCCTAGAAGTTGCTCCAATCTGCTTTTCCTCTCAGTCCTTATTCTCACTGCTCCAGTTTCAGAACTCATTGTCTCTGCTTTCCAACTGGTTGCCCTGCCTCTCACCTTGTCTCCTTCAAATCCATCCTCCACACAGCCATCAGAGTGATCAGTCTAAAATGTAAATCTTGTCTGCCTTTCTTTGTTTCTTATATGGGTTTTTTTCCCTCTTTTTAAATTTTTGAAGCATAAATAAAATGAGACTTAAAAGAGAGGAAAGAATCGGTGTAGGTCTAGATAAATTTTATGGAAGTGGTATTAGAAGGTTGAGGGAATTCTCTTTTGATTGCTTTTATAATCTCTATGAGATTTAAGAGAGTTACCTTCTCAGAGTTCAGGAGATGGAAGGTACTATAGTGTAGGGGGTTACTGATTGTATCTCAATTTAAAAAAATTATAGATGATAGTTTTAGGAAACAAAAGTACTTACATGTTGGTGTAATCCTTAAGATACCTTTCCAGTTATGTGCATGTTTTTAGTCATAATCATTTGATAATTATTGCACAACATTAGATACATGTTTTAGTGGCTCCTCTCACTTTAATGCTAAAGTACATTTTCTATCATGGACAGCAGCAAAGGGAGTTGAGGAATATGGAAAACACAGTTTTTGAGACATCTTAAGGCCAAAAATGCACATACAAGTAATATGATAGTAGGATAATCATAGTTATCAAGAGAATTTCTATTTTTAGGACTTGTTGTAGGCATTTCTTCTGTGGGTTATCAATGTGACATTACCAGTCAAAATCTAAGCATAGTGCTCACAGGTAAAAGTGCAAATGGGACTTTACCTTTCAGCAATTATTTCCAATATGAGAGGATTTAGTTTCCTCACATTGAAGATTAGATTGAGAATTAACATTGCAACTTTTGGTTCTATGGAGAAACATTGACCTGATGATCATTTAAAGTCTTTTAAATATAAAGCCATATAGCATATCGGTAGTGACCAGGATAGCATACTGCATATCAATAAACATTATTTTAACAATAATTTTCCATTTCACTTTTAATTCTGAGTTTCTAGTTTTATTAACGGAGTTCTTAAATTAATTTGAACCCATTCATTTTGAAACATTTTGGTATATGTTTGACTATAGTTGGTATATGTTGACATATACTTTGCTTGTTTCAATATCTCTGGGATTTGTAAAATTGAAAAATTTTTAGTACTCTAACTGCTATTTTTAGCCATTATGAATAATCAAAATTGGTTTAATATGATCTGATTTCAAACACTGAAGTGCATATAATTCAGGGTAATAACTCATAATTGCATCCTTTGAAAATAAATGAAGGATTTAATAAATGTTAAAGATATTTGAAATATTTGTTGTTTATGAATTATATGAATGCAGTATATATGATATATAAATAAATAATGCAGAAAGTGGATGTTGAGGCACATGTGCGTGTTATATGTTTCAAATTCTGTTCTAAGATTAAATCCTTACGAGTTAAATTTTTTCAAACATCAATGAGTGTTTGAACAAAGACACTCAGTTTGGAAGTTAACTGCGTTCTAACAATAGAAGAATGAAAATGAGATCTAACAACTATGTCTGATATTTTGTTTCTACTTTTTAGATTTCCATTTTGACAGTGCCAGCAGAGGAACCAGGAACTTCTGCCGTTCGGGTCATTGAGTTGTGTTCTTCAACAATGACATGCATGAAAGGCACATGTAAGCACAGTAGAATCTGGTTGTCTTTTGTGTTTGTTTAGGAAGTAAAGGGCGAGCAGCTGTTATTACAGTTGTCAGGGTTGTGTTTATAGAGTTTTGCCACATATTTTTTTTAATTCGCAGTATTTGTTCACACAGAGTATATTCATACAATAAGTGATTTTATACCTTCCCCTTGCCTCTAAGCATTTCTGTGGCTAAATCTGCACAGGCACCATTGTTAAGTTTTCCAGTGAAAACATTTCTGTGACTTCCAATTCTTTCTTACTTGAAACACTTTCACAAAATTATTTTTCTTTACTACTGGTTTTCTTCTTTACTTCTTAGAATTCTTAATCCAGTTGCTGAACTTCTACCTGGTATAAATCCTCAATTTATTTCTTTTTTAAAGTTAGGGACTACTTTATCTGTCTGTTCTTTCACCTGTATGTATAAAAATTTCTGCCTCCAACACTGTCAGACATCATGGCTTCTACAACATATTTCTTAAAGATGTTTCAGTAAGTAGAAATCAGTAAGTATACATTAGATGTCACTATGCCTAGAAGTAAACTGAACTGTAGGGATTATAAAGAAGCAGATGCTGACATGCCTGATTCTAAGTGTTCATAATCTTGTTGCACACCTAATGGAACAAGACAATATTAACTGAGTGCAATGTGCTCCACTGAGCATTTCAGGATAGGGAAAAGGAGAATATATTGTAGGCCCTGTCCTCAGGGGACTCACAATCTAGTGGGACAAATAAGACAAAAGTAGCTGTAAGGGGCAGCGTATGAAAGTACCATAAGAGAGGTACCAACAAACAGTGGACTCGAGAGGGAGGGAAACGTAACAATATCATTAGCCAGAATTTTTTTTAATTCTGTAAATTTATACCATTTTACTCAAACTGTTGTATGAATTATAAGAAGCAGAAGACCAATCTGGTCTGGCATAGTTGAGATAAACTTGACTATGTTTTCAAGTGTAGAGCTACTGCTTACTAAAAGATGGCAAAAATGTGGTTCAACAGAGAGAAGTGGGAGCTTGATGCCAGCAGGGAGAGTGAAGAAAACTTGTCCAATATTGCCATAATCCTGAGTTCCCATTTGAAAAGCAGCTCAGAGGAAGTTTTTCTCCTTTTATAGTGATTTGTGATGTAGGTCAATCTTTATCATAACAGTTATCCTTATTATTTTCCTCATTACTTTAACCAGTTTTTTTCATGTCTTTTTATCTGTGTTAGTGTCTTAGATATAAAATAAAACTGCACTCACCTTTGATTTTCTAAATTACATTTATTTTGTTTGTAAATATGTTTGTAAAGTTATTTTTATAAATTATTTTTCTATGTGAAATATTTTTGTATCCCCAGTATAATAATATATATTTACTATTGACAATTTGGAAGATGTAAAAAAGAAACATTACTATAATCTCTCTACCTAAAGATGATAAACACTTGGTATATATTTCTATGTAGGTGATAAACACTTGGTGTATATTTCTATGTCTTTTTTTGTGTGTGTGTGTGTGCATATATATTTCCATAAAAATGCAATATTAATTTATATACTGTTATATAATGTGCTTTTAAAAAGACTTAGTACAACAAAAATCTCTTTACAGTGTCTATGATATCATTTTTAGTGACTGTGGATATGCCATTTTTATTTAATCCCTGTGCTGTTGAGATGAAGTATTTTGAAACTTTTCACTTAATAGTCCTGTAAAAACCAGCCATCCTTATAAGTACATATTTGTGAGCATCTATTATTATGATGTTTTAATTTCTTTGAGTGGAGTTATTGGGTCAAAGTAAATAGATTTTTTTATTTTGAAATAAGTATAGATTCATAGGAATTTGCAAGGATAGTACAGAGAGGTCCCATGTACACTTTACCCAGTTTCTTCCCATAATTACATCTTAACAAATTATAGTATAATGTCAAAACCAGGAATGTGACATTGGTAGAATGTGTGTATGCAGTTTTATCACATGTGTAGATTCTTGTGTCTATCACTACAGGGATCCCTAGTGTTGCCCTTTAATAGTCACAGCGATCTCCTTCCCTCCCCACACCCACTACCTAATCCCTGGCAACCACTAATCTGTTCCACATCTCAATAATTTTGTCATTTTGAGAGTGTCATACAGAAGGAATCATACAGTATGTAATCTTTTGAGATTGACTTTTTTCACTCAGTGTAATTAAGGTTCATCCAACTTGTTGCATGTATCAATACTCTATTCCTGTTTATTGCTGAGTAGTCTTCCATGATAAACTCTACTTTCTTCTGGCTTCCATGGTTTCTAATGAGAAATCTGCTGTTATTTTTCCCCCTATAGGTAATGTTTTGGGTTTTTTTTTGCCTCTCAGGCTGCTTTCAAGATTTTTTTCTTAGTCTTTAGTTTTTAGAAGTTTGATTATGATGTGTCCTAGCATGGGTTTCTTTGGTTTTATTCTGTTTGGGATTCATGCAACTTCTTGAATCTGTAGGTTTATGTCTTTTGCCAAATTTGGGTAATTTTCATCCTTTATTTCTTTGACTATTTTTCAGCCTCACCCTCTTTCTCCTCTTCTTCTGGGACTCCTATGACATGACTATTAGATCTTTCATATAGTTCTGTATTTCTCTGAGCCTCTTCATTTTTGTATTAAAAAACATTTGTTATGCCTGTTAAGAACAATGTACCGTGCTAGGCACAGTGGATTACACAAAGGGATATAGTCAAGGTGGTAACAATAATAAGATAGTACAAAGAGCAAGAAGAGCCTAAACTACATGTGTTTCTGTTCATTTTTGTATAGTCTATTTTCTCTCTTTTGTTCATATTGTGTTGTTTCTATGGTTCTACTTTCAAGTTCACTGATTCTTTCCTCTGTCCATTCCATTGTGCCGTTGAACCCATCCATTGAGTTTTTTTATTTTAATTATTGTATTTGTTGGTTTAAAATTTTCCATTTTGTTCTTTTTTAAATCTTCTGTTCATTTACTTAGGCTTTCTCTTTCTTTACTGAGACTATTGTTTCATTTGTTTCCAGCATGTTTGTAGTTGCTTATTGATGAATTTTTATGATGGCTGTATTATATCTTTATATAACTCTAATAGCAGTATCATGTTGGCATCTGTTGATTGTCTTTTCTCATTCAAGTTGAGGCTTTCCTGGTTCTTGGTATAATGAGTAATTTTGAATTGATACCTGGGCATTTTTGTTATTATATAATGAGACTTGGATCTTATTCCGTTGTAACAGGCCTCCTCTAACACTGCTTTGGTGGAGAAAGAGGGTGAGACCTTGTTGCTGCCAGGTGACGGTGGAAGTCCTGGTTCCCCACTTGGCCTCTGCTGGCACCTGGAGATTGGAGAACTTTCTCACTGCTGAGTGATTATAGTGCAAACTCTCCACTAGGCCTCCACTGATTCTACACTGGCTAGGAGGAGCAGGAGTGCTTTGTTAGTGCTCCCCACATGCCCTTCACTGACACCATCGGGAGACAGGCGTGGCCTCATTACTGAGGCAGTGATGAGAGACCTGACTCTTCATTAGGCCTCCTCTGACACCACCGCAGGGGAGCAGTGCCTTGTTACTGCTGAGTAGGGGTGGAAATCCAGGATCCCACCATGGTCTCCACTGATACTGTGGAGGTGGAGACTGTTCGTCCTGGTAGGGATGAAAGTCTTGGCTTCCTACTTAGTCGTCTTTGACACTGCCCCGCTAGGGAGGTTGGGGCACCTTTTACAGCCTGGTGAGGGGTGAAAGTCTAGGCTACCCATTCAGTCTTTAATGACAGATGTAGACATGGGGTCTCAGTCTTTTCTGTCGTGTTTGGAGTAGAGCAATTTATTGTCTAAAAGTTGTCTGTCTTACCAGGTTGCCCCTTTCCTGGTTCTTTGGCTACAAAGAGAGAGGCTTTCACTGGGGCTTTTTTAGTCTGAGCCCATTGATATTTCTGGGTTGCCAGTTTCTCTGGTAACCAGTCTGGGATAAATCAGGCAAAAAGGAAATCCAGGGAGCTCTGCCGTTTTGTTCTTTTGGTCCCGAGGTCCCTAGCCGGTCTGCTTTCTTCTCTCCACCTCTCAGAGTCTTATTATGTTTGTTTTATATATTATGTTCAAGATTTTTAGCCGTACTTAGCAGGAGGAATAGGGAAAAGTACCTTTACTCCATCTTTCTCGAAGTAGAAGTCCCAAAGTGTCTAGAGCTTTAGGGCTTTTGATATATAATGCCAGATTTCCCCCCTCCCAAAATTGCATCAACTTATATATCCAATGGTAGTTTATAAGCAAGCGTGTGATTTCTCCAAACCCTCAAGAGCACTGGGTATTATCTTATCAAAACCCCTTTGCCAATTGTAAAGGTGAAAAATGATATTTTGTTTAAATTTGTGTTTAATAACTCATGAAGTTGAACATCCTTTCATAATGTTTATTGGATATTTTTACTTCTTTTGTGAATGCTTTATTCATTTCATTTATCTATTGTATTTCTTATTTTTTTCTTATCAACTTATAAGAGCAGTATAAACATTAAGGGGATCAACCCTTGATCTTGTGTGTCACAAGTATGTTTCTCAGTTCATTAAGCATTTCTTTTAAACCATAGGGTAAGTAGAGGGCATTATTCTAGTTCTTGGGAGTAAGACAGAAAGTGATAAATAATTCCTGATCTCAGGAGCTTTAAATATACTGGGGAAGAGAAAAACAACAACAAACTAAACTAAAAACAAAAAAACTAAAAACAAAAACACAGCAGCAGAGCAAAGTAGCATAAACTAAGGATACAAGCAATGAGTGTTAAATGGAGGAGAGGTCATTGTCTAAAATGACCTAGGAATGCTTCAAGAAAAATATGGGGTATGATCTTGGCCTTAAAAATGGTATATAAGAAACTTTGCAGTTTCATATTAATTATAATGATAATATAGGTTTGCTTATATAAGTTTTTTGTTATGAGTAAAATTTCTTAACTAATTTTGTCTCATGAGGGATGAATATATTTGTGTGTGTTTAT